CAGCTATCAAACCTTCCCCAAATAATAAACTCGTCAGACTTCTTGTTGCAAAATATGATTTATTAATTGTACCAGAATTATATTGAATTGCCATATATTTTACTGTTTCTCGAAAGGCCTCGAAGGATATATTAAATACTCGCTTTAGCAAACACTGATGATTAAAGAAACATTTTTAACACTAGAATGTATAAGAAACATATCTTTAGACTAACTTTTATAATAATACATTATGTTTTAAAACGAATTAGACGAACATTTAGGTATGTATTACGATAATTTGATTTATAAATAGTCCAAGAACATTCCAAGTTTAAGAGTCACAGAATGTTCTAGACTTCTACACCAGTTAGTTACTGGTCTGAAGCTGTGGAGAATTCTAGAATTATTAACAATCATTAAGTACTGGAGCTATTTTATGAACAGGCACTTGGCAACAATCAACGTTCATTGAGTTGTAGGCGAGGCAATCATTGAAACGGGATGAAAGTAAAAGTGGACATCTGTGTACCTAACTATGAGTACGCGTACGTTACTTACAAACTGAAGGTTTGATCGTATTTAATTTATAATCGTTCTATGTATAATGTATGCATTGGTTTAGGATTATATTTACTCATAATCTTTTTCCTTTTTAATTTTTGTCCAAAATTAAATATGTAAAGCTATGAAAATATTATTTAAATTTAATTAAAGATATGTGTGTAATTAAGGCGCACAAAAAAATATTTTTTACGTTGAATAGTTTTCTTGCTATATCCATCATAGGCTGTGGTTATTTGTTCGACATACAAACATATTTTTTTTAATTCTATAATATAATATCGTATTGGGAAATCTTGAAAATCTTTACCGTAACGAAGTCCTATAGAGTCAACTGAAATGTATTCCAACATATAATTAATAGATACAAATTATTAAATGAGTTCATTAAGACTTCATTGTATTAAACACAGAAATTATACAAATAGTAGCATTCAAAATATATGACATAGAACAATATATGTAATTCAACATAATTACTGTTAAATTAAGGAAACATTGTTTTCAACTGAATGACGTAAAACAACTTCTTTTGTTATAATCTCTTTAACAGCAAGACTATCTGTTACACGCGACTTTGTTTAAATCAAACGATTTTGGATAATTATATCCCATTTATAATTGGCTTATAAATTAAACATTATATTTGAATACTTTAAATATAGTTGACTTTAATTAGAGTATTAAAATTAATTATAATTGAAACCTTTTAGCGCACGTGACTTAGCAAGGTTAGCGTCAGATTAAACGAACCTTGTGTTTGACTCGCAAACTAAATAAAAGATAATCTTAGTTAATGACGGTTCCGTCTCAAAAAAAGGACAATTTAATAATATAATTCAATTAATTTTCATAATATATGTTGGGCCTATTAAACCTTCACCTGGGTCGCAAGTCCCAGGCACTGTTGAAGCTCCTCTTCCTGCAACGATAGACCCAACACTCAAACCGTAAATCCTAAAAGTTTTCGTCTCTAAATGATAAAATAAGTTACGTTCAAGTGTATAGACAGATCTGCAGGTAAAAGCTAGTTAATAAGTTCACAAGCGAGGTCAGATTGAAGGCGTTGCTTGTTAAGCCAATAAACATACAGACAGTGTTAGGAAGTATAACATGTCACGAAGCAATATAATATGTATTGATATGAGGCGGCGTTGATTACTAAATGATATTATTAAAAGTACGGAAATTATTAAGAAAACTATGTATAAGTGAGGATAATTAAGCGAAAATATATCCAGAAAATCATGCTTTACATTCGACATATAAGTTTTTTTTCAATCATTCATTCTTCCAAAAGAAGCAAAACGATACAAAACTTTGTAATATTTCAATAAACTTTTAATATTATGTATGAAAAAAGAGTTCAATCGTGAGAGCGATAAACAAAATAAGAGGAATATAACTAACAGTGATTATAACCTTAGTACGATATCGCACTAATATACAGTTTTCATTGACATGCCTTGTTTATATCCATCCGTGACAAAACAGATAAAACGGTAAACTATCTGTTTTTAATTAGAGACGAAACCTCTCATCACTCAATGTATTCACCGTGCGGGTGCCGGGTCCATCGTTGTAGTGAGATGAGCTTCAACAGTACCTGGTACTTGCGACCCAGGTGTAGGTTTAAGGGACCCCTATCTAACAAGCGTTAAACGCTCAATTTATAGTAAAATCCCGCGTCCTCGCTCCCAAAAGGCGTGAATAATACTTTCTTATTGGTTGTGTTAAACATCTGTACTGAAGTTTGTGTAATGTAAAAGAAGTGATGCAATCTTGGACGTTAAAACAAAGCAATTAAGATCGCATTGTTCGTAAGGCTATTGTTCTGCGGATCGGCAGTTTGTTACAGAACTTTTTACACCTATATACCTAAGATATAACTTATATTATGTACTAGAATAGCTGTTATGTACTTTTATTACGCTTATTTGATGTTCTTCATATATTTCCTGATAATACGTTTCTATAGACAAAGCGTTTAAGAGATATATATTAAATTTTATTTCGAAATATGTATATATCATATTTGTGTTTAGGACCAAGACAGTTACCTAACCTACCTAGGTAAGTGTAAAACTTCAAAGATACTTTTAACGATATCTTGAATATATCTGACAAAATATCAAGTCACTTTATGTACAAATTCTTCTATCATTCATCGTCAGCCTAGCCTCATCAGAGCCCACTGCTGAAGCAAAGGCCTCTTTGCATATGGAGAAGATTTGAGTATTAATCACCACGCTTGATGAAGACGGATTGGTGTTTTCAAACTTATAATTTCAGATTAAAAGTCCAGGTTTCCTTACGATGTTTTCCTTTACCGTGTGTCAGTGGTGTCTAAATACTCTTAGAAATTATATATGACTCGGAAAAGTCACATTGGTACTTGTCGGGTTTCGAACCCGCGCCCTCGTGCATCAGAGGCGGGCCTTCAACCTCTAAGCGATTACGATCTATTTATCAATCATAGTTAATGAAAACGATGTAGTTATTTCTTACCATATGTGTATATATCACTGACGAACAGAAATAAAACAATAACCTACTTTAACTGTAAAATAAACGAAGTTTTATGACTGAGAAACTGTTAACGCTACGTATGTAGTGTGACGATAAAACCGATAGTAAGATTAGGAAGCGAACTAAAAAGCATTGAAAGTAATTCAAATTATCCTTCACTTTATTGAGAAACAAATTTTTATCACAATATGCGTTTTATTTATGTTCTAACAATGCCAGTTATTTCGAAGGTCCATTGATGTGATGTTATGAATGTTTAACAATGTTCATTTTAATACAATTCCTTTCGATAAATGAAATACACCGGACCACCGGTGACTGGACTCTTGGTGGATTGTATTTCAGTTATTGTTTACGTGATTCGAATTATATAAAGTTATTTAATGTTAACTTCTTAAGGAGTTTGATTTGTAATTCACACTTCGTACGTAAGATGAATATTCAAGCTCATGTACCTTTAGATAAAGGAATCGTGCCATATTACTATGTAAACAGCTAAACAACTTTGGTTTTTTTGCTATACATTGTTGGTTATATGAATAAATTTGAAATTATGATTCTTTAAGTCTAAATTATCATTTACGTGACGGTCGGAAATAGTCTGATTTTTATCATACAAATGTCGAAATGCAGTATATTATGAAGAAAAGAAAAATAAGAATAATTTTTAAATAAACTATAATAAGTATATAATATCAGTATGTACAGAGATCATCTCTTAATTGTTTATAATGTTATAGAATATTAAATTTAATTTAAATGAAACTAATATTTTCGAATTTATTACGCGATTTTTTATTTTTGATTATAAACTACATTCTCCCTACGTTTCGGTCATTTTACAGCAACCGTGATCACGCGTAGTAAATCCGAAAATATTAGTTTCATTTAAATGAATACTCGCGAAAATTTTATATTGATTCTATGTAATCTTATATAAGTATATGTATCAAGCTATTAGAACATAATTTAAAACGGAATAACTATTTCGTTTATATATTAAAAATATTTAGATTGCAATTTATTGATAGAAATGAATTGCAATACTTTAACACTTAATTAATGTATAACGCTTACGATATCTGTGTATGCAATAAAATTGCAAGTGGACTAAATTAACATGAAACGTCGTGTTAATTAACGATGTTATTTTAACATAAAAAGGTGAATATTTTTAATCGCCTGTAAATTTTACTATAAATTCAACATCATTAACGTAAGTGGTGAGACCTTCTTGATAGCTGATAAAGGATAAATTATTGCTGGCACACTGATAACACATCTAATAAATATATCGTCAAATTAGGACGCAGTTTTTGTATAAGAATGTATGTAATTAAATTAAAACCGGTACATATACGTCTGTGTTTGAAGGTCGTTGCCAAATTTAAAGGGATCTAAGAATTCTTTCAACTATAATAAACCATCCTTACTTTGCTAGATTAATTGTCTTTCTGGTATGATGCTCGTTTATAAGCTTGAGTCATTATGTAATGTTTTAAAACTTCTTTATCAAACTACTTATATGATTTTTTTATTGTAAAATACTATGATTATTAACGTATTTGATGTCAACAGGAGGAGAATATAAACATACTAAATATTATGGGATATAAAACGAGATTATCAATATTTACTTCTTTGAATTGTTCCTATACTCAGATACACTCAGAACGTAATCTCCTAACAGTCCAAGACTAGTCCCGCTTTTAGTCTTTTCTTCTAGTCATCTAAACTTCCTAGTAGCCTTATATAATTAATAAGTAACATAGCCTTATTATTCCCCAAGAGGGTTGATGTCAGGCAGGCGGTCGGTCGTAAAAACAAATAGCCAAAAAACTATTCACAACATGTAAGGCAGACCCTGGCTATGGTTGGGAAATTGCCCGGTAGAAGAAGAAGTAACATAGCCTTTTTATTCTATCCAGGAATCTCTGTCTGATTGGGAGTGGAGTCAGTACGAAGGTCCAGGAGCTCGTAAGTGGAGCGGCCGCAGCGCCCCGGCTCAAGATGCTGTCGACGACAATACTCGCATCTCCGTCACGAACAACACGGACTCGTGTAAACTACTCGTTGTGAGTATACAGCATGTTTTAATAATATTTTACTCTTATTATAAGCACACTTGACAAATACTGACCACCCTGTATAGGACATTAAAACTTCAAGGTTACGTTTGATATTGGTCCAGGCTAAATCTTGTTACAGCGAAAATAATATAGTTTTTAATTTTATATATTTAAATATATTTTGCCATTGTATAATATTCTGCTATGTTAAACATAAAGAACATTTATTTTTATCTATATACACATTCCATTTAGTTATTATATTATACAGTAACATCAGCTAATTAATTGAGTCAGTAATGTCTTCAATAAATGAATGAAGCCTTATTAGCACCTGAACTAATAGAGCGTTACATGAATGAAACATTACGCAATCTAGACATTCCATATAAAAGAGGAACTGTTCTTTGAATCAATAACGTAGCTTTAGGGAATTATTTTACCAATAATTTGGGTCCCTTTTTACAATATCTTGTGGGTGTAATGACGCAAGCCTCTCAAAACTAGTGCGCAAACAGATTTACGAATGGAAAATTTGCCCATAGAAGACAATTGATACTGCAATCGTACGTACTAATTGAGTTTCATGAGCGCGAGGTCAAATGGTGTCAAACAGTCTCTGGATCCTTCTATATCGAACGAATCACGAATACACATTAAACAGCCATTACACCCAAAAACCTGTTTCCTTGGTTTTTGCCATGTTTTTTTGACTCGCTTTTTATAACTTCTAGAATCATCCAACGTATTTATAATATTTTGGAATGTCAACAATTGCTTAGTAAAATAGCTTTTGTTGACTCGATATTTGCGTACTCGGCCATTATTTATACAGGTAATGACAAACAAGTTTCATTTTTATTGAACAAATAACAATCGTTGTGAGACATGTCTGAACTGAATGGTATTTGCAATACTTTATAAGTGATTGTTCTCTATATATAGTTATGCCAATATTTGTTATTTCAGTATATAAGTGAAACGAAGACACCTATATGGCGTTTGTCCCTGTGTGGAGGGAACGCAGCGGCTGTGGCCGCGAAGGCTGGAACCAAATTGCTACCACCAAAGATAAAGCTAGTATGGACTCCTCCCACTACCACCAACCACAATACGGAGAAACTAAGGCTGGTGGTCACTGCTGTTAATAGTGGTAAGGCAGAAAACATTTTTATTTTATTTTATTGGGAAACAAACATTATCACAACAATCAACTGAAATAATACCTACAATAATACACAAACCAACCAAGTTTCCTCCAATTACAAGTTCATTTGGAGCAAAGAAGAATAAACGATTAAAATTAAAATACAAAAATTGATGACATTGAGCAAAAATAATATCAAAGATTTTTATGGCCCATCTTTTTCCCTACCTGATAAATTTACCTGTTTTGTACCTTTAGTATGAATAGGAGTAACGTTTAAAAAATATAGTCTTATTGGTTACAAAACAAACCACACAAGTCCATATAGTAATAAGATCTATTTTATGGACCTTCAACTCAGTCTGTTAAATGATAGTCAATGAAACCGAGGTAAATCCACTTATTCCATTTCATGGTCAAATATTCATTGGTTTCAACATATAAAGAATATAATATCTTTTAATTATATATATACTAGAAGACCCGGCGATCTTCGTATCGCCCTATAATCAAGAAATAGGTTTAGGGTAGAATAGGGTAGAAAATTTTATTTATATTTTTGGAGTTTACCTATTAAAGCCATAAATCTCCGTGTTTTGAAGTGCGACAGAATGATTGACATAGTAGTTAGTTGTCAAATCTAATGTCAAAAAAAAACGTTTGTATCAACAACTACTAATAAATTAAAAAAACATTGTCCAGCGGACAAAATTGTGAATCTAAGCCATTCCCAGATCCCCTTGAACACAAACAAAAAAATTCATCGAAATCGGTCCAGTCGTTTGAGAGAAGTTCAGTGACATACACACTCACAGAAGAATTATATGTATATATAAAGATATGTATGTTTAATATTTCAGGTGCTGTATGTAACAATGAATCTCAGTTTGTATGTGGGGTCACAAGTCTGTGTATATCTTCATACTTGGTGTGTGATGGTGTGAAGCATTGTCCCGGAGGTGAGGATGAAGATGGCAAGGCCTGTTCACATCGCAGGGACTCTCCATTACTGGAGATGTTACGACGGTTCGCGGCAAGGAACCAGGAGTTCCTCGGCTTGGACCAGCCAGATGGTGTGACTAAACCATCAGTTATAAGTAAGTTTTTGCTATAAGGAGTTTTTTTTATAATAGAGTATAAAGAAAATTTTAAAAATTATATTATTTGTGTCTGTTAGTATAAACTTTCAATCTTTTTATTATTAATATGTATAACAAATTTGATGAATACTATAGATTTAGTTGTTAGGAAAACTTATTTATATTTAACAATCAGATCAATATAACATTAAGCATCTAGTTCTAAAAAAAATATTTTAATACAAACTAGTATAAATTTATTGAATAACAATAATGAAAGAAACAGTTAAACTATTATCATCTAAATAATTTTCCAGTGAAAATAACCGAGGGGGAGCAGAAACAGAATGCCTTTATGGAGTTTGCAGCGGCTTTGAAGCCTTATGGACCTTGGAGCTACCTGGTAGTGGGAATGTTGGTCTGTGCCACTATACTCATGTTCTGTCTCGCATGGGGTGAGTTGAAATATTCATTAATAATAACATAGTATTGCATTTAGAATGAGTTATTTATTCATTAGTTACCTAGAATTGTGTTTTGAATTTATGGATCTTTGAATAATACTCACTAGAATGAAACTAATATTTTTCAAATATACTATGCAACTTTATTTTTTATTAAAACTACATACTCCCTGTTTCGGCTATTTTATAGCAACCATGTTCATGAGCAGATAAGATGTGAAAAATAAATTGCGTAGTATATCCGAAAAATATTAGTTTCCTTTAAATGAATACTCGCGAAAATCTTAGATCTCATAATAACATAACTCAGTAGATTTATATTATGGTAAAAATGTTGAATAACGGTTCTATGGTTTGGTTTCCAGTGAGAAATTGATACTATATATTTACTAAACAGCCATATTAGGAAGAATTTATACAAAATAAATACTAGTTAACTGATATAATTATATTATGTACTAAACATGATAACAATTTCATTATATAATCTTATATCTTATAAATAAACTTCTATGTTTCAGAATGCTGCTGCAAGCGTTCCAAGCCTTCAGACACGCCTATCAATATACCAGCTTCTTGTATTGACCTATCACCTACGGTCACGGTCACAGCGTCATCTCAGCAGTTGTTCGAGCCGGCGCCTTCGCCCCCCGAGTACGAGCCTCCTCCTTCATACTCCTCGCTTTTCCCACGAGCCTATAAATCCTCCCCTTCCCCCGTTCCACATTGCTCCCATCAAGAACCAGACTGAATCATCCCTAAACATACATATTGACAGACAAACGGAACTGACAGACGACATACGGGATTTCAGTGTTGCCGGAATGATTTTTGTTTTGTATAGAATTATCGTTCATTAGTTTCTAAAAAATTTTTATCAAAACCGGACTAATACGACGGAATCTTAATTAACTAGGAATTTAACTAGAATTATATACAGATTGACTAAGTTTCAACTTTGTTATGATGATTAGAAAAAATGTTGGTTATTTTTCTATATTATATTTAAAAACAACTTGACAATGTTTAGAAACTAAGGTAGAATGACATATGAAATAAAATCAGTTCAGAGGCGATCAATATCATTAAAGATACAAGAATATAGATACATACACTCATTATATACTTGGAATGTAAAAATATCGTGTACAGAGTATATTGGGACCAATTTATGTAGTTTTTAAGAGTTACTGAGTCGTGTGATGTAATAAAACTCAGTTGATATTTAACATCCAACAAATAAAACATGTTCATAGAATAAAACTGAATTTATCATAATAATCTTATATTAGGGTGATTGGTCGTTCTACTTATTTAAATAGACAATGAAAAAAAATTCGTCCTATATTAATATTCATTAATTTGTATCAGAAAAAGTTATAAAATAAAAATATTATCATTAAAAAAAGCTTGCATGCCCATCTGAAGTGTCCTTTTAAGGAATCAGTGTCAACTGTGACGGTAGAATGAGATTTTCTGTTCAACTTTCGTTTCTACCCTCAATATGTTTAAACTAGTCTTATTACAATGTTTTTATTTGATAGTTATTAATCTTTCTAAGTTTTAGTTTGTAAGACAGAAATACCTTTTCAATAATGTAAAAAATAAGGTTATAAAAGAAAAAGTGATATATGTATTGTAAGTCATGGAAGGTGTAATAAAAAACATATTTATTTATTATTTGAGTTTTATTATATTGAGTCTTACTTTTTTTTACTAAAAATTTTCATACAATGAAGATTTTAATTCACTTGAGTATGTATATTTTTATTTCACGAATTTAGCAATACAACTAATTCTTTTAATAAAAACCAATATAAAACTATGTATTGTTCTATATAGATATTATATACAACTAGCTGCGCCCCGCGGTGTTACCCGCGGATTTCCGGGATTTCCGGGATGTAAAGTAGCCTATGTGTTATTCCTGGACGTCAGCTTCCTGCATACAAATTTTTATCAAAATCGGTTCAGATGTTTGAGCGTGAAGAAGTAACAAACATACACACACTCACAAACTTTCGCAATTATAATATTAGTAGGATTTGCTTTTTGGTATTCATTTTTTTTAAATGGACCACATAGAATGATATTCTTATCGTAAAATTATGTTTTTTAACATAGCAATGTTCAATTAATTCAAATATGAAATGGAAAGTTCATCAATATTACTTTTGTTACTTTATGAGTTTTAAAATGTTTCTTATGACAAGGTCGAGTTAATACTTTTATTAAAACTCACCTTAATTTTATTTGTGTATCAAATTTAAATTCTACTCTGTGTCCATAAATTTTTGATTATGTATTGACTATGTGAATTGTAAGTAATGTATACAATTACATTTTGTATATAACAACAGTGATGATTCGATGGTTTGTTCTAAAATCCCTTAATGAGTTCTTTTCAAATCATTACTGTGTTAATTATTACTTTTTCCTTATTATATTTTTAATATTAAAGGAATAAAATATCAGTGATTTTTGTTAATACTTTATTGGAACAAGGAAACAAAGCAATATCTGTTGCTTTATTCATAATGAAAAACTATAATTATTTTGATGTTGGGAGAAGTACTGACATCAAACAAACCATTTTTGAGAAGGTAGTTAAGCGCCTTAACAACACCGTGTGCAATAACCAACAGTCCTTCCAGCAAGACTCGGCTCCGGATCTTAGAGCTCGGTCCACGCAGTCCGCTGGATTATGATTTAATGTCAGTTTTAGAGAGTAGGGCTTGCTCTAAACGCCATGATAATGTGGACTCCCTAAAACAATTCATACCATTGGCAGTGAACTTTTTCCCATGGAAAGAGTGTGTGCTTCTATAGATAACTGGCCTCTACGTTTAATGGACTTTTTTGCAGCCAATGGAGACCACTTAATACATAAGCCACAAGACCACATAAGCTTTTTATGTTTGAAATTGTTTTATATTTATGTATTAAAGTTACATACTATAAAAGTAATAAATGTTATTGCATTAGATTTCTTTTTTTAATTTTGTAACAATATTTATGGCTAGACTATGTATTATACCACAATTAATAATAATTGTGCAGACGATTTCAAGGCATTTAAATTCAGTGGAATGGATGTCATTAATGCTTTTATGTATTTTTTAAAGAAAAAAATTATACTGATAATGGGTAGCAATAAACAGAGAACTATGAGTATTTTTTAAATTGAATAATTCTCATCCCGAATAGATCATAAATCAAAATGAATTAATAAATTTAACCAAGCGGGCGATATCTCATAATTAGTATAACACGTTTTCGCTTCTTCAAATAGCTAATAGAGAATTACGAATTACTAGTGCATTACGGATCTATTTAGTGTTCTATTAAAATAATGATTTAGATTATTGCTCTGACGCTAAAGTATGGTTATAAATTCTGAGAGATTAAATCAAAGTAATATACATTGTTTATTAAAGAAAATTATAGCACACACATGTATTTTAATTCAGTGTTTATATTTTCCCCGACAGCTTTTTAAATTAACAATATATTTATGGTTTTAATTCTGTATATATTACCTATATTTTTTGTATTGTCAAAGTGACAAACGTTATATATGTCAAGTGTCATTTTAAAATCAATAAAAAATGGTGACATTTAATTTGTTTTGTTAATTCGTTTATGATTCAATGTATGATAAAATATTATATAAAAATAAACAAAAAATATTCTGAATTAAAATGCATTGAGCCATATCAGGTATAAATTTAAGATGGATAATAAAAGCAATATTTGTCGTGTTTGTTTAAATACTAATATACCGAACGACAGTAAGTCATTGTTCGATAAACACGACGATTTATTTTTATTTGAACATATTAATGCGATTACTAATATCAACATACGCTATTACGACGGCTTACCGAATAAGATATGCCCACAGTGCCTACAACAGTTAGAATGTGCTATTGTTTTTAAGACGAAATGTGTGTCATCTAACGAGAAATTAAAAAAGAATTGTTTCCCCACCGAATTGAAATTAAAATCAGAGTGTTTTGTATTTATTAAAAAAGAGGATATTTATCAATCTGATATAAAATTAGAGGATGAATGTATAAATGAAGTTTTCTCGCCTGTAATTTGTATAGAACAAACACCTAAGGCCGAAGATTCTGCAAAAAAAGTTACTAGTCTTCCAAGCTGTCGCAAAAGTAGAGCAATAGATCTTAAACTGGAATGTCATGACTGTGGAGAAACCTTTAAATCTAAATGTAAATTGAGTGTTCATTGGAAGAAAACACATATGCTTACTAATCTGATATGTACAACATGTAAGAGGACATTTAAAAGTTATAAGGCATATCACATGCATAAGAAGAGGAAAAGCAAAAGTTGTGTTGTCGCACAAGATGAGAATGTTAATATAGAAGGAGTTGGTAGAACACGCAAATTTGTCTGCAAAATATGTAACTATATTACTCACAGATCAAAAGATCTATCGGCCCACCTCGTAACACACAGCGGCGACAGGCCATACAAATGTGATCTGTGCCCGAAGAGATTCACCCAACAAAGCTCGCTACAAAATCATAAAGAACAATTACATAATAATATTTTTGTTGAAATAACATGTCAGTTCTGTGGCAAATATATAAAGGGACGGAATAAAGTTTACAGACATCTCAAAAGTCATACAGACAAACGCCTTCCATGCACTGTATGTGGAAAAGTGGTTCGAGGAATCAATTTTCATCTTCACATGAAGAGGCATTCTGGTGTGAGGCCGTTTGTCTGTGAAAAGTGCCCGTCGAGATTCTACACGAGAGCTGAACTTTGCAATCACACGAGATGGGTTCACAGCAGTAAGAACAAATATTACAAATGTGATATCTGTGATTATAAGTCGGTGAGGCCACATAAAGTTAAAAGCCACATGAGCAGACACACAGACATCAATGTGGCCTGTAAAATATGCGGCAGATTCTTCTTAAGCAATGAAAGATTGGCTTTACATGAAAAAACACACTTTGAAGATGAGAAGAAATACTCCTGTCCACATTGTGATGTAAAATTCTTTAAGAGGGATTCAGTGAGACGGCATATTAAAGTTAAACATGTCTCCGAACACTCGGAGGATAAGAAAGATGAAGTGAAAACTGAATTAGTGGCAACTGCAGTAACAGATTTTAAAAATAAAGACGAGATAAGGAAAGTTAGCTAAAATACTGTTTAATTTGTGTATAAATTTAAAATAATGTATATGTCTCTTGTCATTATTTTTTTATTTTTGTACTATTGTAATAATTATCAAAATCCTTATTTGTCACTATATTTATACTGTCTTACTATTAATAAATATTGAATTTTTTTCAAGCAGTTTTTTTTATATTCAATATATAAGGTTTAATTAAAATTCTTCTTATTCTAATACTTACTTCAATGTAAATGTTTTTTGTTTTAGAAAAATATTCAAAATTTTTGTTCGGTCTAATATAAGAATCCAGATTCTATTGAATTTAAGCAAGCATAAAGAGAGTTTAGAATCTATTGTAAAATATTTTAATTTTAAATCTTCAGACACCTCGCCTTATATTTAGAGTTAAAATTACAATTTAGATAGTTCAAGGCTCATTGAAGGGTGTTTCTCGTATTTTTACTAAAGGAAATAAATTCATAACTCTTCACGTGTTTTTGATGAATGTTTTTGAAATTTTGTATTTAATAACATTGTCTTTTACGTTCTTCTACTTCATATTAGCACTTTACATAATTTTTATACAAAAATATAAAATAATTTATTATTAAAGGTTCCAGTAATAAACAATGGTTAAGAATCCAAACTAACCCAGAACCCTTCGTCTAAGGCAACTGCTACGTAAAATTGAGTGTGTGCCTCTGCTAATGTTATATACGATCTTAGCTCTTCAGAAGTTTGTTGCTTGATTTTTTTTAGTCTTCTGTTGTAGCACTACCTTAATGTCTTTCCTCATCAGACTGTACTTAGTTAGCGACCATTCCTTTCACTCAATGGAAATGTGTAAGGACCTCCCAAGTTTTTTCCAAAGATCTCAAAATGTTTTTTTTAATGTTCTGTTCATAAGTAAGTACATTTAAGTGTTATGAAGTGCTAATTTTAAGTCTAATTCATGAAACCGGTAAGCTGTTAAGTAGTTTTACATGATATATATATGAAAAGAGAAATAAAAATTTTCATCCCTACTAATATTATAAATCCGAAAGTAACTCTGTCTGTCTGTCTGTTACGCTTTCACGCTTAAACCACTGAACTGATTTTAATGAAATTTGGTACAGAGATAGAGTTGACCTTGAGAAAGAACATAGGACAGTTTTTATCCCAGACTTTTGAAAGGTTTTCTTGAAACGCGATATAACCGAACTCCACGCGGGCGAAGCTGCGGGCGGAAAGCTAGTATAAAAATAATTCTTATATTTTGCACAAAATTATAGAATCACCCAGTTCCACCTGTCTCGTGTATACAGGTAGGCAGGTGTGACCTACTTTGATAGTTTTAATTTTAGTTTTTACCTTAAATTTTAAATCACTTAATGTCTGACTGGTTTTGTAACTGCAATTAAATTTGAGCAAAAAATTCTAAAAATATATTCTATGTAAGTAGTAACCAAATAATATTAAAGAAATCCATGTGTAAACTTTACTTTTAAGTAAGAATTATATTTTTGGTACGGTTAAAAAATACATCATTACTTTCTTCGGAGACCTTACCTATTGAGATGTCAATGAAAATAGTTGCTTTTGAGTTGCCGTAATCGTATAATATATCAATCAGTCGTGAGACTTATGTCGTTTAAAAGATCAGGAGTTTTGGTTTATAACCGGTTTTAAGAAAACCTAAATATATTAAATTACTTACTTACATTGATACTTAGACATTACAAAATCATCTAAACATCGTATCTAATATAGATAAGTCAGTTAGCGTGTTATAAAACAACGAATAAATGTGTAATTATTATTTTACCGCCTTTTAATGACAGATGTATTTTTATACGGTTTGATGCAATCGTTTTACTTATAATGCCAAACAATATTTTTAATAGTTATATATTAAATAATTAAAACAGAATACCTTAAATCAATACTAAATATCTTTGCAGACTTATACTGTTTATCAGTGAAGTTGTTATTCGAATATCAATACAAAGCCAATGTATGGGAATACCAGGATCAATCGTCTTGCATAATTTATGCAACAATACTAGCAGCAACGGGAATATAGAAGCTTTTTAAAAGTACTATATTTTGATAAACTTAATAATCTTAGAATATTTCGAGTTCATATTTAATGTATTTTGAGGGAAGCCCTAATAAAGAGCATATTCCCGCCAATTTGTTATACTTAGTCCTTAATAACTTTTTTCGTTCTTGTTTTCAAAATGGCGAAAATAACAATTTGATATGCATTCTTGCAACGCGTTTGTTCAAACAAGTAGTTTTTGTTGGTTTTAGTATTTGTTTAATTAAATATGTTTTTTTTTCAGTTTTGAAAGCCTCGTTTTTTAAGCATATCTCTAACCGTAAAGTAAAGTCGTTACCTACTTCAACTGTACAGTTTTGTCTAATCTAAAATAACTTGCTTCTATTAGAAAGACATAATTTTTTTTCGATGCCTTCCAATTGACAAGAAAAATTGTTTTTCAAATATTAAAAACTTACACTCGAATTTGGGTTAAAATGTTTCTTTTTCTTTTTACGTTGAATTAGTATCAAGATTTAATTTTATTATAATTTAATTTAGAGAATTAGAATCTTGGTTACTCATATTCGTGGGGTAAGTACATGAACGGATATGTTTGACTGTAATATGAAATCTGTCGCTATTAATAAAACAATTTTAATGTGTTCTTACTCGTATTACCTATGACTTAAGCTATAAAAACTGATTAGAAGTTATTTCATCCCACCATCAGAATCTTTTAATCTTTTCAATTACTGAAACCAAAATAGTAATTAGTAACTTTCGAAACCATATAGGACTAGCTCTATGGTTAGTTGTCTAAAAACTGTCTTCAACTGCAATGAGCTCCAGGGAAGATGATTATGAATATTGTTTTTGCCATGGAGGAGTCACGATTTGAAAAAAAAATACTCCATGAATACCCGTCAGGTGGGATCCAGACTTAAAATCTGTGAGTCAGTGTCTGTACTGATTATACTACAAAGTTTGCTGATAACAATATAAAATTCTTGAGATCTAAGATTATTGCGATCACATCTCGTTTGCCCGTGATCACGGTTGCTGCAAAGTAAACGTCGGGAGTATGTAGTCAAAACTAATTATAAACGCGCAGCAAATCCGGAAATTTTTAATTGTATACAAAACTGTTATTGAGACTGAAACCAATAGTACTCAGTGGAAGTGTAGAACCTATAGGCTTTGTCAAGGCTAGTGTACTTCACTTCGCTCTAAACCTCATCCTCAGTCCATCAAGAACTCAATTGACTGTTTACCAAAACCGCTTCTCACTTTTCTATTTCTTTAGCTTCTGTATGTTAAACTATAATCAGCGTATTGTCTTGCTATCAACAACGGTCTTTGGGTTGGAGTCACTATTGACATTCAGAATTTAACCTTTAAGTACCGACGTGGGGCCTGAGAGGCCGCGGCGAGTTGACAAATTGTTAGTTTTACCGCTTCCCCGCGCACGTGAGCCCCGTGCTCGTCAGTAGCTGCGAGTTTAATTGCGCCGACGCCGCTGAGAGTGGTAGCAGTGCCGGCGAACACAATTTCGGTAAGTTATGTTGTTTTGAAATTACGACGCGGCCTCTTAGGCCCGACGTCGGTACTAACGTTAGTTTTTTGTTTGAGTCATGAATGAAATTAAATGCTTGTTTCCAGAAATCTATCGGATAATTTGAAGAATGGATGTACCAGGGACATCAAGGGGTAAACGTAGTTTATCTACGGATGAATTACGTTTTTCCAAAAGACCACGGCGTCCTATAAATCTCTTGGATGAAAATAACGCGGCGTTGATTGAGACCTTGCTTGCAGAAGACTCCAGCGGATCGGAGGTAGATGATATCGGAGAAGATTAATAAAATAATAAAATTCTATAATTCCACAAAAGGCGGAGTAGATGAAATCGACAGAAAGTGTTCGGTATACACTTGCAGCCGTCGATCAAGACGTTGGCCTCTGACACCTTTATATAGGATCTTAGATATAAGTTCAGTCAATTCACATATACTGCATGATGTGCATCTAAATAAAGGCACTGATCGCGGTGTGTTTATAAAGCAGTTAGCTCGACAACTCGTCTTAGACCACATGAAGAGAAGGGTGTTACGCTTGCCTCGTGAACTTCATATGAGTTTAGAGAGAATACTCGGTCCTGATATGCCAAATATAGAGCAAGGTCAAGCAAAAGAAGAAAAAACAAGAAAAATATGTGTCTCTTGTCCGCCTAAATTAAATAGAAAATGTACATACCAATGTTACTCATGTAAAAAACATGTTTGTTTACAGTGCGCTAAACAAATCTGCCCTAATTGTGACTAACTTTGTTGTTGGACATTTTTTTAATTTATGAAAACAATTTAAGTTTAATTTTTTTTTGAATAGATATAATCTTTAAGAATCAGAAAAAAATCTATTTCATGGTTCCTAAGAAGTATTATTTCTTTAATTATTTTTATTTCGGGAAATGCCATTTTTAACTATAGAATCAGAGCCAAAGATTAAAGATCATATAATTTCAAAGTTTAATAAAGTTGATTATAATAATTGTCTTTGTTTTCATTTATAGATCCCAAATTAACGATAAAACTTAAAAAATAGATGTCTATTGTACATATTTTCCATACATCTCAGTGTTTAATATGCGGCCTCTCAGGCCCCACGTCGGTACTAGTGATACAAAAAAACCACGTCGGTAGTTGAAGGTTAACAACACAGACTTCTCACTAGTCTATAGATAGACTACTCGCCTTAATCATTCTATTTTGGTACACCACTATCTAGTGATTTCGTATTCCACTACTATGTACAATAAGAACAAATTCTTTTTGCTAATTATATTTAAAGTAAATCGGATAAAAGCCCTAATACCAAAGAAAGTGAGCAAACCTTTGTTGGGAAGATAGTTTGCAAGTACTGGGTTTGATATAAAAGTTACTTACGATTCTCCACACGTACAATAAATAAAATATTTTGCAAAAACAAAAAAGTTATATATGAG